AGTATCAGATACTGTAGGGTAAGGTCTGCCCTACATTGCAGATGTCAATCACATACTGCAGCTTTTGATGTGGACTTCACACTGACTGGTTTGAAATGAGAATTCCCACCATCATCTACTCAAGTTTCATGAATTTAATAGAACAATTCACAAGATCCTGAGGGTAAATTTGCTTATATTTACCCCTTCCTTGCAATGTGCATGAGAGAGGAAGGTAGAGGAATAGATGGATAAAGGAATACATAGCTCTGAATGTAGGAACACACAGCTTACATACCTTTCCCTGACATGACACCGACCTTTATGTGCCCAGCAATCCAAATATTCTCAAAAACACTGCCCCCGGGGTTTTGAGAAAGCATTAATTTCATTGGCTATCGGCGATCAATTTCACTTTCATTCAGAGGTTTGAAGTAAGGTTGAAATACTAAATGTCTAGCTTCTGTTCCTTTGGCAAACAACACAATGCAGAAGCTTTCCTGTAGCCCATCATGTTATTAGTATTGTTCCATAAACAAAACAATGCAAAACCAAATTCTCATATAGTCATGGAAATTCAGAGGGATTCAGAAACTTGGAGCCAACTGTTATTCTTACTCAGGAAGTCACAAAATGTTCCAGGAACATTGTTTCAGGTACTGGCTTTGTCCAAACCCAAATGTAGAACAAACGAGTCCCCTACATAACCATGTATAAAGGTTTTACCAGCTCAGTGTTATGACACTGGAACTCTCATAGAGTGTATATTTACTATATCACAGTAGCCCAGACTTTTACACAAATCTACTAAAATAATATTATTTAAATTCAACTGAGTTAATGATTAAATGCAGAGACATGTCACATTTAAATTCTGCACTAACACATGAATAAGACTTCTGAGGATAGACTTTATTTCAAACTCAACATAATTAAGTTGGTCTAAATTGACCCACATGACGCCTGCTACAGCTGAAATGTCAATGGTTCCTGACAAACAGTGAAAATGACACAGCATCAGCGTCACAACTGCATGGTGTTTGAGCCTGGTTAGCTTCAAGCAGACATAGAATGGTACCCGTGGGAGCAATGTTAAGAGAGGATGATGTCATTTTAGATTATCTAGGTACAGAGCTGACAAAGAAGGAGAGAACACACACACACACACACACACACACACACACACACACACACAGAGAGAGAGAGAGAGAGAGAGAGAAGACACAAGAGACAGACACAGGCACACACAGAGACAGAGACAGATATGGAAACAGATAGACAGAGAGATAGAAAGTCAAAGACAGAAAAAAGAAATAGAGGCAGATACACACACACACAGACAGACAGACACACACACAGAGTACAAGAATACAAAGACAGAGACAGACAGACACACAGAAACAAAGAGGAGAGATAGAAAGAAAGAAATGGAGACTTGGAAAGAGAAAGAAACAAAAGACAGACAAAATAGTGACAGACACATACAGAGAGAAATAGACACACATAGACAGAGAAGCATAGATACCGATACACACATGCAACATGCATGTGCGTACACACACACACACACACACACACAGAGAGAGAGAGAGAGAGAGAGAGAGAGAGAGACAGAGAGAGACAGAGAGAGACAGAGAGACAGAGTAAAATTCTTGTTAAAATTGAAAATCCTTAATATTAAATTGATGGCTCCAAAACCATTATCAAGAAATTACTTTTCAGTAAGATGCTCCAGGTTAAGAGTCTTAAAACAAAACAAAACAAAAAAATCCAAATATTGTTTAAGGCAATGAAATCTGTTTGCCATCATTTTTGTTCTCCCAGGTGATTAAATACAGAAGAAAACAGTCATTTGATAGCTAGTGATGCTATTTACTGAAAGTATATTTAATCACCATAAACATTATTTTTACTGCAAGACTAGCAAAGAGACTATGGAGGTATCCCATAAAGCATTTTTAAAAAGAAAATAGTGATAGTTCCACATATTTTTATGAGGGTTTCAAAGCAATCTGTATGCAGCTGGTTTTTCCAAGTACTGCCTGACATTGTAAGCTCTGGTTTTGGAGCCAGATGGCATACAATTCATTCCCCAAGTGGGAAAATTTTCATAGGCTAAAGAATAGATTCAGGCAGGGCTTGTGCTGTGTGACTCAGAAATGATTCCAGTGATCTGTTTGGATAAAAACATCAAGTAAGGAGGACACAGGTTGGGACTGCATATTTTAAATAAGCCAATAGAAAAGAGAATTACATTTTCTCAAAATTGGGTATAAGTACATATTCCTGTCTTCTCCTTTTAAAGATTTTACATAAATTATTCTGGAAGAAAGCATGTCTACATTCAGCTGTTTGGGGATTTCAGCATATGCTGAAAGGTGTACGTCAGGAGAAAAAGGACAGCCCCCAAAAGGAGTTGTGCCAGTCATGTTGGACAACTCTGGTTGGTATAAGAAATGCTTTCAGTGGATGTACTAAGGCAAAGGCAAGCTAGTCAGCACAGCCCAGATGGGGATGAGACAGGCATTCACCGACATGGATCTGAAGTAGTCCTCTATAGAGGCTGGTTTAAATGAAGATACAGCTCCCTAAAGCTAGATCAATAAGACCTTTAGCTGGGACATACCTCACTCTTGTTCCTTTGCCCTAGTTCTCTCTTCTTGATACTTATCCATCTCTTCCTTTCTATCCCAGTTCAGGAACAGCAGTCTCTCGATTAAATGTGCAACTTTTTCCTTACAGATATATATTTTCTAAATATATTTGGGATGGATTCAAAATAATTCTTTGTCCTGTCATTTAACTCCCTTACAGTACTCAGCAGAAATTTATTGGTCCCATTGTTGCCCCTCAAAGGTGGCTTCACAAAGAATCCTCTGAATAATGTTAAAATCCCTTCTGCTCTACTAAACACATTGCAGCCAACAGCAGTTCATAAAATTACTTTAGTGCAGTTAGGTTCGAGAGTATTTCCTTAGCTGGTTTGTGGGAAAGGTGATGATGAGAAAGAAAATGAGGAAAGAATATTTTACACAGAATAGTCATTTTCAAGGACAAGTTTGGTTTTATTGCTTTGAAAAAAATCAAGAATACCTTCCAAAGGAAACAGGTACCATACATACATGGCACTTGAAACAGGCACTTGTACAGACATGGAAGAGGGAGTTTGGACTCCTCGTTGCATGGCTAGAAGGAATGTTATGTCTACCAATACAACTATACTGAGAAGCCAATACAAAGTGGAAGCAATAATTGTGGCAGATTAAAAAAGAATAATATCACATTATTAATTTAGTATAAAATATAGCATTTATGGAGAAAATATTACCAACAGTGAGAGATCCTTTTAAAAGGTATATGATTATTCTTTTAGTCTTCTCTTTTTTATAGATTCAGTGCACTAAGTTTTTATGGACATTTTGTCTCTGGAAATGTGTCTGAGTCACCCACAGATTCACACATGAACCTGCCAGTCGGTAGGTGGCATTTCTCAAACTGTAGTAGACATTGGTCCACTATTGCTCTTCCTTGATACCCGTTACTGGGGTTTTTCTTTCTATCCTACAGTTTCAATTTCACTAAAATTTAGAAGACATTCAACAATTTCCTTAACCCCCACTTTCTTAAGTTCTAGTTTTTCATGTAAATAGAATCATTCCAAAAGGTTCCATCTATTACACCATGAGAATGGTCATCACTTTTTTCTCTTTGCAAAGGAAATTTTAGAAGCTGTAATTAGTACTTTAATGGTATTCCATTAAATACCATTAAATTTTTCTTTGATATACTTATAAATAAAACACAATGCAAGAGGAAGATCAGGATCCAGAGGAAAATAAACTAGGTAAATATAACATTCCTCATTTTATCAACAGAATCTTAAGGAAGATCAAGGTGTTTATAGAATTATATTAATAATTTTCTTTCACTGAACTTGAAACAGGATGGTATAGAGTACTGAAGAAATGTAATGAAGTATTAATATCCATGCATCCATGTATGAAGAACATATAACAATTTATTTTAATAAATATAACCTATTCCCTTGGCAAAGATAATAGTGTATTTTCTCTTAAGAGGTGCTGAGCTCCCAGTAAGTAACTGATGGTGGCCACAGGACTTTAATCTCTAAATTACCACATGGAGAGTTAAATTCAAGAAAGAACATTTGATGTGATTTCCAAGTACTTGTCTGAAAGAAGAATTTTCCAAGAACACTTTGTTTTTGATAGAAACATCACTCTGCTCTATACCTAATTTCCAAAGCCTAAACATAGCTACTGTTGTGTGGCAAAACAATATAAAGCACTTTGTATAAAAAATTGTAGGTTTTTAATTATGTCCAAATGCATCTAATCAAAACAGTTTAATAGTGAATATAAAACGGTGTGTGTGGACTTAATTATATCATATGTGTTTAATCTACCTTCTAATTTTGAATAATAATAATAATAATAATGGCAATAATAAAAATAATAAACACATATAAATCTACCCTTAGGAACTAAAGACCTTGATCTTACAGAATTTTAAAATATCTTAGCATCTACTTTTTGAAGGGCAGGAGACCACGAAAAGGTATACTGGAAATGTTGAAAGTTCAAATAGGCTTATTCTTATAAATAGATTGACTTTTCCTGTTTTCTATGCCTTGAAAAATTTCGTCACACACTTTCAGAAAGATTCTGACCTAAATTTGTGAATTAAAGTGTGGTGTGCTTATGTCTACACCAGTGTGTAGCAAGTAAGTCTAGTGTAGTGTGTTTGCTATGTTTTTGTTCCTTCTTGGAGTTTATCTTGGGACAACTGGAGCAGCATTCTATTTGCTAGCACTGGCCTGCAAAGAGAGGGTTTAGCCGCACTGCCTTCCCCAGTATGGAAACAAAGCAGTCAGGAGAACAGGATGTCCAGTTATGAAACCTCTTCTGAGTGTTTGGTTTGTTTTCAACAGAAGTGCTCTTACGAGCTGAGTATATTCGAAGTATTTTTGAAAATAACCTGAAATGACTTCAACAACTTACATCAGCTGTACTTCTCAACTTGGGCAGAAGGGTTTATGTACTTCCTGCTTGGTCGCTGGAGTCCTACTCACCTCGGACTTTTCTGAAATGTTCTCTTTACATAATCAGAATGTTTGCCTGACATCCATGTTTTCTGTAAAGAGAATTTTCTCGTGACAATTTGTAGGTATTTAGAAATCTAAATGGCATGTTCCTTAGGCTATTTAGACAGAGGAAGTATAAAATATTTCACTTCCTTAAACAAACAAACAAACAAATAAATGAAGCCCTAAGGAAGAGATAAGCATTTCAGAAGCAAGGCTCTGAAATCTAAGCTGAGCTGGATTTGCAGGACACTGAACAGGAGCTCCAAGCTGGAAAATCACAGCCTGTGGCCTGTGATAGTATGGACTTGCTTTGACTAGCTGTGGCTGCGGAAATGAACAAGCAAACTCTCTGTGGCAGAATTAAAAATGGAGTCCACAATGAACCCCATGAAAAGCAGTGTAAAACCTACTGTCAGCTAGGTCAATTAAGAAACATGAAAAAGACAAAAGAACATTTAGAAGGGGCTCACAGGGAGGCCAGACAACTTGCTGTTTCTAATGCTGCAAAACCATAACAAAAACCATAGAGGTTAGGGAATTTTTGAAAGTTTCGAGTAGTTCTTACATAGGCTTTCTATTTTTAAAAGTTATCTCAGTTAGGTGTTTTCAGAAGTCCACTACTACTATCTTAATTGTCTTCTAACATACAAGAGAACTTGGATTTACACACGATGAGCTCAATTGGACTTTTGTGGACTTTTTATTTTGCTTTGTTCTAGTTTTTGTTTTGTTTTTGGATTATTGTTCTATTGTCTATTTTGTCTTTCATTTTTTTCGTGTGTGTGTGTGTGTGTGTGTGTGTGTGTCTGTGTGTCTGTGTGTCTGTCTGTTTGTATATTTGCTTATTTCTACCTCTCTTTGAAATAGTATTTTAACCAATTCAAACTGTTATGATTGGCTGTCCTTTAGTTCAGTGGTTTTGCATTGACTTCCTATTTTGATAGGAGAACATTTTCACATGAGCTTTTGTCCCTACTTCCCTCACTCTCACTTTTGGGGCTTTTCTAAGAATCATACACTCATGGAAAGACACACGCTATGACAGTTGTTCTGCTTAATTTCTGGGAAGTAAAGACTGCTCAGAGGTAGAAATCCCTGCTGTGTTTCTTCTTACTAGGATTTGACCCTTCACAAAGTGGTGTCTGTATCAGACTCTATGGGCTGTGCAACAAAGTATCAAAAACTGATAAAATTCTGTTTGAGAGACTACTCTCCCACACTTGTGGAAGCTAGAAATCTGAGCTCAAGATACCAGGGAATTAATTCCCTTTTTCATCTATGAGGGAGTTTGTGTTCCACATCTCTTCCTCGTGTCTAGTATCCTGACATGTTCTTGTCTTTCTGGGTCTACACACTGTCCCCACTGTGTGTGTCTGTCTCCGTGTCCAGTTTTTCTTTGGATAAAGAAGTAGTTACTTTTGGTAATGGCCACCCCTAATGGTCTCAGCTTAGTTTCATTATCTGCATAAAACCAGTTTCTAATAAATTCACTTTCATATTGACCTGATGTTAGAATTTTAACGTGTTTTCATAAAATAAAATTTAGACGCTAACCATGTCCAGAGCATATTTAATGAAAATCTCACTTCATCTTAAATGAACTAATGCTGGGAAGAATATACCATTTGGTTGTTTCCTATAGTATTTAATTTTGTTCTGCCTACAACAAACTTCCTTCATTCCAATAGCCCACCTTAACCCATCCTCCTGTTTTTATCACTTTATAGTAAAACTTCATAAACAACTTTCAAGTTGTCTCCATGCCTGTACCAAGGATACTCTTTCAACTCACCGCATTTTCATATGACCTCCCCGCTGTGAAACAGGTCTTCATTAGATTCATGCTGCTATCCACATTTTTTTAAATCCCTGTAAGGATTTGTTTTGCTTCTTTTTGCATGTGTTCTGGCCACAATTTATAACATTTCAGTATGGATGGATGGGAGACATGATCTTCCAGTAGTCCAGAGCATTCCTGTGTTCTTCTGGGTTATGTGAAGAATGCAAGGCCACTGTAGCTGAGTGGGACCTTGACACTGTAGGCAGTTAACCAGCATATCTGTTTACGCCTTACTGTAAAATTGGTGCGTGTTCCAAGGCCAGCGTTCTGTAATTCAACTCTCCCCTGAGGAAGGAATCCCTCATAAACACTTGTTATCACTCTAGGGGGGTTGGAAGAACAGACAATCAATCATCATGGTGACCTCTAGCTACCATTTCTTGGTGTGAATAAAAAGTCTTCTGTGTCTTAACCATGAGTCATACTCATACGTCTTCTGCCAACTTTCATAAAACAGTAACAGACTAGCTCCCTCGTTTACACATAGAGAAACTTCCAGGCCCTTCAGAGTGCCTGATGATAGTTTGACATTATTTGACATTCTCAAAGGAGCAGCTCCAGGCCAGGCTTTTTGGACGTACTTTGCACATCGTGCCTTGTCGACTGTGTCATTAACTTTTGGAGTTTCTTCAGTTTAGAAAAGAATTATCCTGGGAACCTCCCCTCTGTTTTTATGAAATTTCAATACCTATAAATGTTCTAGTTAACATAATGTCCAAATACATTTCTATATCCTAATAGCTTACTATGGTATATTGTTGTATCCAAGTAGTCACTTGATGTAGCAATTGGATGTTTTGTTGTCGTCTGGAATCTGTTATTTATTACTAGATCCAGGTTCCATTTTCTGCCTGGTTGTCTTTTAACTTCCTACGGTAAACAAAATAATAGTTTGCCTGTTTTACTAGACTATCCCCTTCTGCAATCTTATTATTTACTATTTATCTAAGGCTAACTACTTTCATCATTCCAACATTGATGCACTTTGTTTGTCTCTACTGATATTTCTCAATATTCATAGTTACCTATTATCTTTTATTGTATCTCCTAACCCATCCCTATGATTTCATTCTACTTTCCCTCCTATCTACCCAACAACTGAGTTGAATGAAAGATCACACTATAATTCACATCATTTAATGAATTTATACAAGGGATAAACTCAAACAATCTGTTGTACAACATGTTAGCTATAGTGTTTACAAGGTTCTATAAACTCAAACATAGTTAAGAATAGATTTTATATGTTCTCAACTGCAATAATACATACAAAGTAACGTGGTTATTAGTTAGCACGATTTACTTCAAAACAGAGTCCTATGTTTCTTAAATATATTATTTTTACTTGTTAATTAAAGAAAAAAGAGAAAAACATTTTATGTTTGAGTCATTTCAACCCCTCGCCCACACACCTAAACATGCTTCAAAGTTTGTCTCATTTAGTTTAAATGTCACCAGTTTACTGCAGCCATTCCTTTTACTTGAGTCACAGCCAGCACAGACAGAGACTTGAGGGCCTTCTTGCTCCCATTTGACATGTTTTAACATGCTTATCTAACTTCTCTTTTAATTTTTTTCAGAGTAGTTTTGAGAATGGTCATTTTAGTGCCTATAATATTTAACTCATGTCTGTTTGCCTCTCCAGATATGGCTCAAATTTGAATTAGTTCAGATTGTATGATTAGCAATTCGAAGTGTTTACTCCAAATGGAAATACAAAATCTAACAGTGAACAAGAACTTGAACACCTTGGAGATACCAAAATTAGTTTTTCCTTATTTGTGCTTATACCTTAGCCCCTAACTCGTACATACAAAAGGGATATTTTAAAATTATAAATGATTCGTGTCAGCCATTAGTTAAAATTCCCTTAAATCACATATTTTTTTATCATAACCAGTTCCAATCCAAGGTGACTTTCCTCTGGTGAACATGTAACCTCCTTTGTACACTCTCTCTTTCACAAATCTATCCATTCCTGCCGTTTTTCAACTGCTTGCTTCATTTTTTATTGTTTATTTATTTTTATTCTTATTTCTCAGGTCAAATGCCCTCAAATTTGTGCCTCCATCAATTCTTAAACAATGATTCTCATAGCCAAATCATTTTCACCTTATTTTTACTCAATTTGGTCATGCTACTCCCCTACACATGCACACATACACACACACACACACACACACACACACACACACACACACAAATATTTACAGCTCATGATCTGTCACGCCTATGTGAGCACATTATTCAAATTCTTGCCTTATCTCCAGCAGTTAGGAGCACCAATTATATTACAGCATCTCAACAAATAATTATGGATATATTTTTACGTTTAGGAGTAATTCTAAACAATTTTTGTCTGATTTAGGAAACTGCAATTGTTTCTTATATGAAAGCAGTGAGAACTCTTGTGATTTCTATTATAACCTAAAATGAGTTTTATCATCTAGGGTTTATCCAAGTAAGTAAGGAAAAAGTAAGTTTGTAATTTTTTGATTCTTCACTAATTTATCCCTATGGGAATTTTGCCTGTCCTCTTTTTTTGCAAAAGAACATGGAGCCAAGAATTTCACTAATATAGTGAAATCTTTTTATATCAAATTCAGAATTATTTCAAACCAAAAGACATCAAAAGATCCTTCAAATGTAATCTGATCTTGAAGAGTGTCTTCTTCCCAGTATTTGGACTTGAAAGCAACAGACTACACAACCCACATTTCAAGCTGACATGCAAAGAAAAACTCGAATGTTTCAGCCTCTTTAAATTTAAAGCATAGACTAATGATTGCCTTTATTATTTTTAATTTCTGAATTCTCTAAAGATTAGTTCTGGGTTGAGAACCTATGTGGGGACCACATAACTAAATGTAAAAGTCACAAAAATTTGGGCTACTGCAAAAATAATTCTGATTACAAATTTAAAAAATTAATTCAAAATCAATGTATGAAGAATTAACGGTGGCTCTTTCTGAAAACACAGCATGTATACTTTGTCTTTTGTATGTTATCATGCCACATTACAGCCAAGATAGGGGGTCTAAACACGTCAGATTTTAAACTATTTTGTATTATGAATTAGTGTTGTTCTGAGTCATAAAATAATTTTTGATATTGTAGCAACAAATAACAGAAAGAAAAAACTTTTATTTTCCTCTAGACATCATTTCCAACAAGTATCAAATCAGTATATCTTTCTTTATATTGTGTTA